AGATTAGCATAGTATTCATCTATGGTGTGGGCCCTCTACTATGAAAACCGTAACATCGCCGCTGTTAGAAAGATTCACTAGTATCCTTGTATGAGATTTGAAACTATCATATGCTTGTTAATTCATAGGGATATATAAGGCTGTACTCCTGCTGTGACTCGCTAATGAGTATGACTTAAGCGTTTGAGCGTAAAATAACAGCTCTAGATAAACTTTCAGGCCAATCGGTGCTCTAGACGAGTTACTGTAGTCCTACCGTAACCCTACAGCGTATCAGCATATTCATATAGAAAAAATGACCACATTCTCTTCATTTTATTATATTCAACAAGGAAAAATATTCTTAGATTCCGTTTTTACTTTAGATGCAGTCGTGTCGCGCACGTGTTATCGCATCCACGTAGTGACATGACATCATATCGTGACACATTAGATGCGATCGACAGTGCACGTGATCACGCACCGTGCGGTCCGTGCCAGCACGACGCCGGTCGTGGTGACATTGGCTCACGGAAAACCGCCAAGGTGAGGAGGCGCATTGGGATTGAAGTGAGCTGATTGCACTGATCAATAACCACAGCTATACGCTACTAACCAATAAGAAGAAAAATCAATAACCTGCACCAACACGCACACATACATGTGGGTGCTACAGTAACCCTACAGTAATTCAATTGCAGAGTGTTGACGCTTTTGTAAGACTGACCAGCGCACAATTACAACAACAACAACAGCAGCAAGAACAGCGACGAGCCCAACAGCAGCAAGAGGAAGCTCGTCGCTATGAGGAATACCGTAGGACAATCTCAAGGCCAACCTTCTCAGTGCCAGCGGATCAAAATAGACAATGGCCACAGCAGAGTTACGATAGGCAAAAGCAGTATCCGCAGATGCAGACTCAACAACAACAGCAACAAAGCCGTGAAAGAGTGCAATACTATCAGCCAACAACGACAACAACATCTTTTCCATATTGGGAACGTCGAGATAATATCGTACACCCACAGACAGGGAACTACCGTACCCCTGGTGATGTGCGGCAGAGACAGGACGAGCAAGTGAGTGCTTTATTGAGAAACCTAAGAAAAATCATCTTAGAACCTCCTTACCCTCCCATTTCTCTCCTGCCTTTCCAATTCCCTCAGCCTAGAATAGGTGGCGAAATTATGAAAAGTAAGGTGATTTCA